TCTGAGCATCTTTAAAACCTGGAAGAGATGCCACATTTTTAATGACACTTCTCCTTCTCCATCCTTAATGCAGCAGAGGTCCCTATGTTCCCAATTTTTGTTGCAGCAGATCCCTGGTGACGAACACAGCAGAGGAGGAAGGTGGCACACTTGCACCAGGTGAGAGTATCCGGCTGGGTGGGAGAACATTGCTCCCTGCCTTCGTGTGGGTGGTTCTCCTCTGGGGAGGCAGGAGAAAAGTGAAGCTGATAACTGCATTTAACCAGCTCAGCAAGACTGGGTATTAGTGTTTCATCACTTGTCACCAGCAGCTAACATACTTCAACAGCATAGGTGGGTTTTTCCATGTATCAAGCAAACAAAAGTAACCAAAGTTTTTCTTCTGAAGAGACAGAAAAAGTTACACCATGGGGACATTATCTAGGGTATCATGTCCCTCCATGATAACATCAGTGGTTATCGCATAGTTAAGGTAAATCTGGATATATTTTATTATCCCTCCTTCTTAAAGGGAAGGGAGAAACCAATTTCAGTTTTTTTTAGATTTCACACATTTTCCAGATATTTTTATGTTTTTATCCACTTTTACTTTTTCTAAATTGTGACTCAAACTCTCAGAATGCAGGGGAAAAAAAGACCATTCCTGGAGAGTTTTTAGCATGACTAACATTCTAGAAAAACATACAGGTAATCTGCTTTACAACAGTCATCCCAAATACTCCAGTGTATGACGGAATCTGTAGGATGACACTACAACATGGTCACACAGCCAATCTCCTGTTCTGGAGGTCTGTTCCAGGCAGATTTCTCAAACTCAAATGATATCTTGTCTGCATTTAACATATGTGTGTTTTACAGATATGTTCCAAATAATTGCACTACATGCTTATGATACTGCATTGGTTTTAGTGATTAGAATGCTAAATTCAGGCAAATCACCGTTAATGGCACTTTGGTTAATTGAACGAAACCTCTGATGTTTTCCAAGTTTGCATAAACCTGACTGCCCCATTACGAGTGCATTCTCAGATTAAACACAGTTCATGACACTTTAATGTGTTAACTCTGCTGCATGATATTTCCTACCAGTATTTAATTTCTTCTCTAATAGACCAGAGACTCTGTGTCCACACAAGTCTTTAATAAAAAGAGTTTTCAAATTCTAAAGACACCACCTTGACCTTTACTGAAATCAAAAGTACAGAGAAAATTAGGATATTCATTCCAAAAAGTCCTTTTTAAAGTGAAATTTCCCCCAATAAAATGTCAAACATTATTACCTACAGAATTAACACTGTGTCCATGAAATTTGCTCTTACACACTGTTTCAGTTGTGTTTGGGAAGGTACAGGAACTGTGATCAGAAACAACAAAATTCATACTTATCTACCTTTCTCTGCAGTTAATTTGGTAATGCTGAAAAATAATATAATAAAGTTAAAAAAGAATATCATAAGCAGCTAAATTATTTCTTGCAGTGGAATGACTCCATTTTCTATGGTCCATTCATGGTTACTGTCTTACCGGTAAAGAACAGTTTTGTGATTTACTGAAAAAAGATAAAGACGTGATGGATTTATATTAAGAACTACGAAGCATGAAGCTTCTGGTTTTACTTCTGACAGAAATCTTCAACATTTTACAAATAAGAAAAATGCCCTGGCACTTGTCCCTTTGCACTGAAGCGTAATAACAAGAAGTCAGTGCCTGCTGAATCCAGTGACAGATTCTGTACTAGCATCAGCGAAAGGCTATGAAAGTGAGTTTTGTTTTCAACTGTCTCCACTCTTCACCCAAGACAGCACACGCACATATGGTCATTTTAAAAAGACATCACCATGCAATACGATGGGACAACAGCATTTTTTTCTGTAATTATATAAACTCTATATGCTATGAATACTAATAGAAAATAATATGTTTATTTACTGTTTTAGTGTATGACTAAGGTCCTTGAGCAAAGTCTAAGGTCCAAGGTTTTGTTTGATTTCAGAACCTCTCACAGACACCCTTGCACAGTAAGTGTCATGTTTGCAATCCTTTGTACTGACAATCAACAATGTTAACCCTGCTGAAACTCCTGCTAGTGCGGTCAGAGGCTGAGCGTGCGGGGAGATGGACTAGGTGCTGCTGACGTGGCCACACGGACGGGCAGGCCTCTCACGGAGCTGGTTTGTCTAGGAAGCCTTGCCAGTGCCTCGACTGAGGTGCTCTGCCTTAGGCTTGGAGTTGTGCTGGGTACCAGTTCACACCACTGTACCGTGCAGTGGACATTACCTGAGATCTTTCGTATTCCCCAGTTAAGAAAAGGAAATTCTGTGGCAGCTCAGACTTCCTCCGTGCATGAGCCAACACACCTCAGATTTGACTTAGAGACAGTATAGGCCAAGGCAAATAATAACCTACATTGCATGCTTTTGAAAAAAGTATCTCTGATTAAGTGTGGCATTTTTTTATTTTTCTCTCTCCTCCCTTTTTGCCCCAAGTCTGTTAGCCCAAGAAAATGATTTGCTCTACTGCAAATGCCTCTGAATTTTCAATTTAACGCCCTATCTCATTTGGCAATCCTTAACCCTGCCTTTGGCTGCCCTCTCACATAGAAGTCCTAACCATATTCACTGGTATTAGATTATTACTTACTAACCTGAAGAAAGAGATTTGCAGTTCATGGACAATGCTGTTCTTATGGGAATGCATACAGTTATGTTCAATCTGGGGTTTTTTTTATTATTTTTAAGTTAACATCAGCTTCTTTTAAAGTCCTGACAGAATTCTGTATTCATTTCATATTATTCTAGCACAATTTGGCTTGTCATCTGAGGTAATACCCTTTTTCAAGAAGGACATTAGCTGTGATGGCTAGAAAAATGAAGTGGGTTTCATGGCTTTGCTACCTAGCGTTATCAGTGGCCTGGAAAAAAGGTGGGGAACACCCTCTAGGGATATTGTCAGTCCCAGTCATAACTGCAGGGGACGAGGCAGACCTCCAGACCTACCTGCTGAAATTGATTGTACAGCTTTAGCCATGGGGTCCAGACTGAGCCTTCAGCCTGGCAGCACCTCTGCCACAGCCAGCGCTGCTCCCTCCCCGTATGGGAGCACTCCAGCCGCGGGTGGACTTGTGTGGACCGACGCTGCTCTGTCCTGTCGCCTGCTGCCCGAGGCACAGCTGTGCTCCCCAGCCGGCCCCGGCACTGCTCGCCTGGCCAGCTGTGACCAGGGCAGGTACCTGTTTGTGGCTGAGGTTGAGGTGGGGCTCCAGAGGAGCTCCTGCTCCTCTCAGCACCTACAAATTCCACTCTTACATGTTTATACAGACCAGCAGATAATTCTTCCAGTCACCAACCTGCCTCTAAGCTTAATGTGGTTCACAAGCTGTTTGGTAATTAATCCAGGGGTGCTACAGACCAAAAGGTGAATATCAGCTATTTAAGTTTTGCTATTTATTGCCACTTCCACATGAGGCTGAGCTACATACAGTGAAGTAGTACCATAGTCCTGAATGATCATTATTAACACCTTAGCATGACAGTACTAAATGCACACATGTGTTTTCTAATTACTTCATTTAAAGAAGTCAATAATGTTGGAGTAGATTAGGTCCCGTGCTAACAGTACTGCAGAATTACAAATAAACACAATAACAGCCTCTTGAATTCGATGCTGACTCAGTACCCCATCTGAACAGGATTCCTTTGCTCTAACCCATGTTAAATATCTTCTCTTGCTCTGCTGTTCAGTGCATGGACACCTTTCCCTTCTCTTGTTTTTCCAGAATGGAAAAAAATTAAGAGGGGTCACCTACCAGTGAGGTTTTTGGCTTAGAATAGTTGAGCAATGCGTGTACTGCCCTAAGCGCAACATAAAGGTGTACTCTCAAATCCGCTTTCATTCAGACTGGTTTCCACAGGTGGAAATATTCAGCTTCTTGTTCCATCTATTCTCTCTGAGGATATTTGACTCCACCTTTAAAACACATGCAACTTTGTGCTCTTGATAAACCCTCAATAATAGTATCCTGACTTTTTTACTTTCATTGTATGATGACATTTCCCAGCGTACCAGATTTTAAGATTAATTTAAAAAAATCTTTATCGAATAACAAGTAAAAGATGGAAATAAGTTTAGCACTACATTTTTCCATGGAAATTTCCTAAGAAAAACATGTATGTGAATATATAACTAAATCATCATCTCAGCAGAATTTTTTTTGGTTTATAGTTAAGGCGATATTTTCTTTTTCCTGTCAGGCCTTGAAAATGTTCCCTGAGTCATGTGGTTACAAAAATGTAGAATTACCCTCCTAAAAAGAACATTTTACAATTCATCACCAGGACTAAACCAGCTGCAGCTGTGCAAAAGCATTAGCATATTAGCTGTTATATTACAGACAAATCTTTTATTTATTTTGTGCCTTTAGCTCTGGAGATTTGGAACATTCAGGATTTTCTCTTTCTCTGCTCCGAAGTCACTCACTGAATTTTCACTAGACAGTTTAATTTTGATTATATTTGACAGACGGAACTTTAATCCACACAATATGTAAAAAATATTGCATTTTAACAAGGGTTTTTACTTATCTTTTTATTGTCATTTTATCGAATAGAATACAATTCAGCATATCAGGGATGAGTTGTTATTGGTATTTAGCTGCCTTAGGCTTACTAACTGCTCAAATATTATGAAGAAATTAACTCTGATAAAGATGATTTATAACTTTCCAAGAATGTTCATAGACTATTTGCATCTAGCATTAAGATTACAGTGTAGGAATAAATGTGTGAGACATAACTTTATATCAAAGCTGTTCTAAGATGGGAGTTCTAAGTTAATTCCTCTATTTTGTGTTTGTCACAATGATCTCTAACACCCTTAGGTGCCCACCTAGCAAAGTGCTGAAGCACATCCTTCATTTTACACATGCACCTTTCTGAACAGAAAATTTCAAGCAGGAAAAATGTCATATACTTTAATGAATATGATCCATAATATTTACTCACCACTGTCTATTGCCAGAAAGAGAGCTGTGTATATGTTATTCTGGACATAAGGAGATTCCCGGTCCAGGACAGCCATGGTGCCAATGGTACCATTGGTAGGGTTAATTTCTAGCCAGCCTGCTGGGTCCTTGTAAACCGAATACCTAAATAAAAATATAACAGTTGTAACAAATTATATATCTAGACATAAAACAATTGACATTATTACAAAAGAATATGCCTCTGCACTCATGGGCTTTCATAGGGTGTATCTCTTCTTACTTAAAAAATACAATTTAAACTTTGTGCCTTCTGTGTGACATAGTTCATTATTGTTAAGCTCACCTGTCAGATCGAGATATAGAGAGAGGTTTGAGGAAATGTCTTTGGATATGTACATCCCAAAGCTTAGTACAGAAATCAGTATTTAAAACATTCTGTAGGACCTGTTTCCTGCTGCTGTGTTACACAGCCGGAGTACCTGAACATTTTCCGTGGACCCCTGCAACAACACTGCTATTTGCAGACTTCATGAATCCTCTCACAGTCGTCCTTTTTCCAGCATCAAAATCCTGGTTGGATTAGGAGTTCTACTTTTTATTTATTTTCTGGCTGTTTTTCTTTTTTTTTCTTACCATTAGTTATTTTGCGTGGAGCTGGAAATGTAATAAATTGTGCGATACGGTAGCAAAAAAGAGAGTTAGACTATGGATTCATTAGGTCTAACAGGAGCTGGTTATATGCACACCTAGTTTGCATACATTTGTTCTACAGTCTGTGATCCATAGTTTCCTGCTTCTAATAATTTCAAATAGAGGCTCAGAATCTTGGAACAGTTCAACCACACACATGTGATCTAACTAAGGATTCAAAAATACTGTCTGTCAAGATCCCTCAATGCAAAATTCACTATTGTGCTTTCTTGGCATAAAATGGCACGAATATTTAGACCTATTTAGGAAATATTTAAGGAGATTGTGGAGTTTATGCATTAAGAACGGCCCTACTTGACTGAAGTAATAAACATAGGAATGTTCATGTTAGGGCCTAATTCTATACTCATTTAAATATATTAAGTAATGTAATAACTCACAGCTGAATTAACTGGTACCATTTCCCTCTCCAATGAAATGTGTTAATATTTTAAACCAAAACTCCAATCATATAATCAATACTTAGTATAATAATGTGTTAATCTTTTTCGTAGGGAATTGTTATAGGTCATAAACAGCCATACAATATTCTATAGACAGTTTAAATAAGTAATTGACAAGAAACCTGTTATTGTTTAATGAGTATGTGCCTAGCCAGTGCCTCATAGTGGCATTCATCTGAAAGGTGTCCTATGTGGTAATGCTGCCAAAAATAATTTATCATTGCAACTATTTCCTGAGGGAATAATCAAAAAATAACAGATTGTTAGAGGGGTAAAAAAAAAGTAAGTAAAATGAAATAATAGGGCTGTTGCTAGAAAAGGAAAGAATAAATTGCAGAACAACAAAGACAGACATGGTTTTATTGAATGCTTATTTCAGAGGTTCACTTTGATCTCTTGTGCCCTCTGGAAAGCAGAAAAATAAGTTGTGATTAGTTGCTAGATCCCTCTAGCAGACTGTTAAGGCATGTCCACTATCATAGCTAACAACGAGGGGGCGAGGTGCGGCTGTGCTATCCAGCTGCCTCCGACCCCCCAAGTCCTTGTTTCAGACCTCTCAGTCCCATACAACTTGTGCTTTCTCACTGTCCAGTTATTTTGATCAGGCAGAGTTTGAGAACTTCTGATTTTTGCTGGGATCTCAGAAAAGCTAGGCAGAGCCACAGCTCTGAGCTGTCAGATATCTGAGATGGCCGTTAGCATCATTCTTTATTCGTGCAGCAGAATTTACTGTGTTTGAGCAGGAGGTCTGATCACTGCCCAAAAGTGAAAGAAAAACAAAAGCAAATGACTCAGTGCATGGCTCAAGCTTAAATTCCGTCATTAAGACAGCACTGTAAAAGACTATTGAATGAACTGAAGGATGGATCTCTCCCAACCCTCATCGCGGGAACTTCCTCTCCAACATTTGAAGTAATGCCATGGGAAGGTGTCATTAAACAAAGATGGTTTTTTTCCTCCCATATAAGTCAGGATTGGGACAGATTCAATTTATAATAGCCTTTGAATAATAAATTTTGGGCATGGACGGGCAAATTGGTTTCCTCACGCATAAATGAGGCAGTGCACATACAGGTACTGAGAAATAGAGGATAGACATATTTTTGCAGCCCACAGAACAGGCACCATTATAACTGGATTAGCTGGAGGCAGAGCAAGACTTGAATTTATGCCTTAGAAAGCACAGGGCTTCAGAATCCCTATGAATTTCCCATGTGACCTGCAGGTCCATTTAAACAAACTATTGTAGAGATTGACATTATATTTCACAGATCGATAAAGTACTCTCATTTCAAAAGAATGAGAGTCCAAAGGAAAAATACTGAGTTTTGTCTTTGAAAAACAAAATCACTTTTAGCAGAAAGCCTTCTCTTAATTCATCAGAGAAATACCTCTCACCAAAAAATTCATCAGTTGCCTCAAAATTTCCTTGGTGTACCTCCAGAGGAATTGATATTATCCTGCAGAAGATGAACATAGCTAATTTCAGAGGTGTGAACTGACAACGCCGTCCGCACGACTGCTGTCCTTTGCCAGGACTCTGCTTCATTCCCCCAGCCAGTTTCAGCATCAAAAGTTCAATATGTGAAAATATCCACATTTTTATGAGCTATTATTATTTTCACTATTACTATGTTAAAATAAATCAAAGGACAAATTTGGAAACCAGAATCTTCTGGAATTTATGAGAAAAAGAGACAAATATTGAAAACACTTGGCTTATTCATGCTCTCACGAAAGTCACTCAGAGTTTCACCACTGGCTTCCCCAGGAGCAGAAATTATCCTTAGGAAATAAGTGGAAAAGAATCAAAGGCAAACCCTAGTGCACAGTGAGACATTCCATCAATCAACACTGTTCGTCCACTTAATAACCATTTAAACATTAATCAATACCCGAGCTTTATCTCCTATAAAAATGAGTTACTAGAATAGTAACAATGCAGATCATTATTTCATTTTACTACTTTGATTTTTTTTTATTGTTGTTTTTATAACTTTTCAACAAAGGTATGCACAAAAATATGAAACAAGGGCAGCCTAAACAATTCCTAGTCTATTGTAAAACTGCAAATTCTCAATTAACCCTGAAACAATTTAAGAAGATTCAACACTTCTAACATAATGAGAATTTAAAATGGATTGTATTATCTTCCCTGATTGCTCTACAAAGCACTGTTGGCTGTGCAAATAAAAATCTGGATTGTATAACCTGTGATTTGGCACAGGATATTGTAAAAGCAGTACTTTGTCTTTCCCACCGTATTTTTTACTTCTTGCAGTACGGTTAAGATGATTGTTCTTTTTTCATTTTTTTGAGGGCTCTGCTAGCAAAGTTTAGAATAGAGTCATTAAGAAAAGCACTATAAAAAAATAGAAGTACAGAATGGAAAGCTTCACTTCCTACTTTTGACTATAGTCGGACCTGCTGAATGCACAGCAATTTTGAAAACCAGACCATTTTTTAGGTGGTTAAACATGAACTGATGTGTCTGCATTTATCTACACAGTTTTGAAAATCATAAGCACATTGATACCTCTGTATGGATGTATACAGATCTATGTTCTCTGGTGTGCCAATTACTGTTTATTTTGGATTTATTCTACATTGCAGTAGTGAAAGTTAGTGCTGCTTTGTGGAGTTCATTTATTTCGTTGGGTTTTTTAAATTTTAAACCATGTCAACCTCTTACATTTCCCAAGGGCTTATCTGACAACAAGGCACGGACAAGTGGGTGTAACCTATTTTGATTGTGACCTCCTTGCACTAGGGTCATGTCCTTGCACTATCTATAAGCCAGGTATTGCAAAGGAATTAGAAAAAACCAATTCTCTCAGACTGGAAATCTGCTGCAAAATTTAAGTGTACACCTTAAATACAGACCTACAGACGCAGAGAGGCTATAGATGCAGAACAAGAGAGCACAAATCAAAGCATGCACTTGGCCTACTTGGTGCAGACCTAAAATGAAGTAGTAAATACATGGAAATAATTTAAAATTTATAAATAGCATCTTCCCCTTCTTGTAACTCAGTAAAATAATTGAGAGAACACCTCCTGGGGTTGGTAGCAGACGTGCATGGTGCCAGTGGCTGTCAGCTTGATTAGCACAGAGGGTCGCTACACAGAACAGTGGTGATAACATGGACCCAGAAATCTAATCAGAGCCACAGCCTTGCACTAACCACAAAAAGAATTTCACAGCTGCCAGCACAATAGCCTCGGGTGTCATAGGAGAGCTGCCCAGGCCTCTAGGCACAGAGTCCGACGCTGCTCTTGGCAAGGGCTTCCAGAGCTTGGTAGCTGCCAGACTTTTCCCATGTGGAGTCAAGCGGTCTTGGCTTTGATGCTTTAACAGAAAGAGAAGGAAGACGAAATGAAGCCATGCCAAATCTGTGCTGAATGACACATCTGTGCCAGTTTGAAGCATGGCATTGACAGGAGTTAAGGTGAGCAATTTAGATAGGCTTGTCAGGGTGGTGGTTTTCAGCCGTGCACATCTGGAGACTGCTCAAGTCACGTTGCACATAGACTGCATGACCAGAAAGATGCAACAGAAAAGAAGTGGTACAGGGGCATTTGCCCCGTGAAATATCTGTCTGATTCTGTAGTTACACCTTGCCACGGTGCTGTGTAAAAGGGCGAGAGGCTGCAGGGAGCTAGTTGATACTGGCGGACTAGTGAGCAAGGCTGGTCTGGCTGAATCAGGACTTGGTGAACTGGACTTTGATTCCCAGCTCTGACACAATGGGATTCGGGAAGCCTTTTAGTTCATGCCATGCCCCCAGCTCCTCAGCTTTAAAATGGTGAGGATGTATTTCTGCCTTAAAAAGCTGTTAAAAGGATAACATCTGTAAATCACTGCTAACATACAGCAACAAGAGACATTGAAAGTACCATGACAGATAGAACATAATAATAATTTGAATAGGTTTCTATAGATGCAGAAAGATATTTACTGGCATTTTCATATTGTATAATTGCTCATCTCCTTTATTTTTTTAAACT